ACCCGTATAAAAAATAGGCCTCGACGACGTCACCCCACGTGGGAGAAGGAAAAGGCGACGTTGCCGAGGCGATGCGACATCACCTTTTATAAAAAATATATATAAATATATATATAATCTTTTATATATAAATATATATTTATTAATTTATATATATATATATAAACGAGGCGATGTCGCCCCCGCGTGGGAGAAGAGAGAGGCGATATCGCCGATATATATATATATATATATATACCGAACGGTATACCGCTCAATATACAGTATCGTACCGTACCGAACGAACGTCGAAACTCCGGTACGGTACGATAGTATGTTTGGGCATCCCAACAATATGCCAAAATCATAAAAAAAAAAACCTCCAAAAATAATTAAAAATTGAAAAAAAGTTAGATTAGAGTTTTTAAGTTAGAAATAAATATAAATTTAGTATAATTTTTGTAAAATTAATATAAATTTGGAAAGAATAGTGTCACATATCTTTTTCGAGCTTTGAGGAATAGCTTTGTGGTACGTTACGGATCGTTCTCTCGTTTATTAAATTATTTTTTATATAACTTAAGCTTTAAGATTCAATTAAATTAAATAATCAATTGATGGATATACTTGTTCTACCACCAAAAATATATTTGTCGCCTTGTCGAACCCAATCCTAAGATTAATCTCATGACATAGTGTAATGATATAACATATATCATTGGTGCATCAATGTGGTGATGGTCATAAGTTGATCATCATGAACCACGTGTACAAGAAGGCTCTTGAGGCAATGACGAATGTGGCATATATTGGTATGGAGTATAGCGAATGTCAAAACTTCTACTTTTGCTACTGATTTGTTGCTCCGTATCGTAAGATCGATAATTGTATGGTCAAATTAACTTCTTGAAATAGGGCAATCTCAGCCCTTGATCAGTAACGATCGAATTTCGAACATTACCGCTAGGTACAGACCCTATATTGCTCGATATGAAGACAAGTGACCGATACCGCTCAGTAGAGGGCGGTCAGCGTACTGGTACCCTAACGAACTGGTACATACTGCTCGTATCGAGCGGTACATATCAGTACAACAAACCTTAATAAAAAAGTATAATAAGGAAAAGATAATAATTAGAATAAAATAGACAGTACATGAGTTCCATATCATTTCATATTCAAAATACTAAAACTAAAACCTCAAATTATGCATATTTAACCACTTCCCATGGGGAAGAGATTGCGGCAAGGAGACAGATGGAGGCACCACCGAGTCGATTGCCAACAAGGAGAGTCGGTCACTGATGGGGAGAAGAAGTGGTCTTCACTTCGCAAGTCATGATCTAGGTTTTCCTACAAAGAAGTGGTCGAGGGGCATGTGCCATACTAGGAGGTTTTAATTTGGACTTGATTAAATCAAATCAAGTGGCTTAGGTCAATTTAGACTTGATCAAATTAGATCAAGTGGCCCGAACCAAACTCGAGCTAGGATATGATCCAACCTAGCAAAAGTGATCAAATCAGACACCTGCTTGGGCCACCAAGCACCCAGGCACAAGCGCTCACCTAGGTGGTGCTCAAGCCCAAGCACCTCGCTTGGGTAATCTTGAGGTGCTCACGGGAGCCCGAGCGCCCGATGAATTCACTATGATAGACAATTGATCTCATCACTTCGGAAAATTCACTAAAAGAGATATCCAGAACTCTTAGACAATACAAACATGAATAATAAACAAAATCTATACACAATATACAATGTGAAGCTTGGACACTAGGTAGACTAATATACACAGATAACTCTAGTAGAATTTTTTATCCTAATGCATATTTTAGATGGTCCAAAATCTGGTCAAGTCCAACAATCACTAGGCTGATGTAGATACATTTGCCAACTACTAGAGATCCTTGGATCGATTAATGAGGTCGTCTCTAAGTACAAATAAGAGTGATCCAATATATATAAAATGTTGCTCCCCCCATTCTTAACTCAACTAAGAAACCCATATGGCTTAGGAATCCCACCGGTGTGCTTTGAAATAGCTTCCATATGCTATCCAAAGTCAACATAAGAGCCTTGCCTTGATGATGTGGCCATAGCATGGAACCACCAGGCCCTCCATGTTATTGACCATACTAGATCTTAAACTTTAAAAAAGCTGCAACATGCTGAAATTGTGCACCAACAGTCTGCACATAGCTGTAGCAAACGATGACCCTGGCTCAATTCCTTGGCTTCATTAATAGCCCAGAGTTTGTGCTAGAACTGCATAGGTTAATGCTAAGCCTTGAACTGATGGAGATGGGTACAGGGTGAAAAAAGATGTCAAATTCAAACCAAAACCATAGGAGACACCCAGGAAAGTTTAGGGCTGATTTTTGTGTTGGATGATTATAGGTGACCAAAGTCTAAAGTTAATTAAATTGCATTAATGGACCCAAACACAAATACTATAATTCTTCTCATAGAAAACCATGGTGGTCATGCACCATCATGGCACATGACACATTTGTACTATTTTGATGCTAGGCATCACCTGGTATGCCATTGACACAGGCTGTCTGGATTGGAATGGACAGTCATAGTATCCTTTTACCAAATATAAGACCTAAACGATACTGCTTTAATGAGCCTTTGATCCTATCAATCATAACTACTTATATATTTTCCTAATTTGGAATGTATGTTTGAATTGGTCTTATTATCTCATGCCTTCTTGCTGCAAAACATAGGCATCATAAGTCAAAGCTAATTTTAACTCAAAATACTCTGTGACACTGTTTTTGTTTCTGCATGACAATATAGTAGACCAAAATTTCTACAGATCATAGAACATTATTGTAAAAGAAACCTTGTGACATTGACAAATAGCTTTCATATAGTCGAATGCCTTGTCAGCATTGCAATATAAAATTTAATACCTACAAATTATTGTATGCTATTGTTAAATATTTATTGTGCATGGTTTGTCCATCCAAATGTAGTATGTCATTCTCTCATGCACAAGCAATGTGGAATCAAATGTCAAATTATAACCCTAGACTCCAGCAATATATCTTAGTCAGGAAATTCTTCTATTGTCCATCTGATACATTCACAAAGGTACCAAATGATGCTATATGATGACTCCTCAGTGTCAGTAACATCGGTTAAAGCTATGTGCATTTCTTCAAGGCCCCTTAATGAGAACATACTAATAAAACTATAAAAGTATGTCAGTAAAATGATTCACTGACCTACAGATCAACTAAATTGTCCAGAACCTTCTTATAAAAAGTGTGCTATATAATAATTCCTGCCAAACAGAAAAGGCTTCATTTGACTCATTTCTGGTGTCTTTTGCAACAATTAATGAAATCACAAACACCTATTAGATCAAAATCAAAATATTTGAGACCGATTATTCCTTAGGTAGTAAGGAAGAATGGATGGAAGAGACAGTAATGACAGAAGAAGGTACATGGATTAATTGTCTCTGAGATTGTCTTTGATGCATAACTATTTGCCTGCTTAGGTGTTGTTTTGCCTCTTTCCAAGCAGAAATAGTATGGCTCTCAAGCTCTTCCTCCGCCAAATTGGAACCATGATTACTGAGCTGCAAGAGCGAAAAGGTTAGAGCAATAATAAAACACAATATGAAATAAGAAAAACAAAAATGTGAGAGAAGAATAGTTAAAAGAGGTATCAAATCAATAGTTCAAACTTCAAAGCAACGAGCCAGCTGAGAATTTCATTGTTCACTGGCATGCCCCATGTACATCATGTCCCAGCAAACTCCATATATTGTCACAAGCCCGCCAGCTTGGTACAACATGAGGTCCATGCCAACAGAGTGCCAGGAAACCCTTGTCAGAGAGGCCTGTGCCGCTACCACAGTGGCATGGCCAACACATGAAGAGTCCAACAATTTTAATACCACTACATAGCTCCAATGAAAAACCAGAACATGGAGTAGTATTGTTAGCAAAGGGAAATAGAATTTGACTCAAGAAGGAGATCAAAAGAAATTCTTTTATGGCAGCAAGTGCAACTAGTTATATACAAGTTATGAGCCAAGGTAGTTGTTTTCTGTACTTGTGCAACAAACAAATAACAATAGTAAATGCATTGGTTTGTTAAATCTTCTTTATCAGAAAACTTCTTCATTCATGATTGGTGCCACTATGTTTTAGTAAATTGTAATATGTCTTTTATTCTTTCTTTTTCTTTTTATTTGTGTTACTATTTTAAGAAGTATTTTCCATCAAAATGCTTATAAATAGGACATCAAATTCAATATTCAGAAGTCCTAGGATTGTAACTGGACCAATATGAACAATGGATGTTAAATCTCCATTTTATATAATCATAGTAAAATTGATGCATGAGGATTATGCAAGGTTTATCATATATGATTTTTGCATTAAAGAAATCATGAATAACTAAAAGTGTTGGAAACTACACAAATTTAAATTATTTTTATGGTATGTAAAGTACCTTGGTGCCAAGACACTTCCGTTAGACATCATTAGATTCAATGTCAACATTATTAGTGACAAGGGATGAAGAAAGAGAAATATTGAAGTTGTTGAAATATGAATAAGCTGGGTGTTGAGAGGGTAAAGTTGATGTAAGAATAAATTAGATGAGAGCTGGACAAAAGATAAAACAGATGACTTGTAAATCCAAGTTTCAAAAATTAGGATTGGGTTAAGGATCAACCATCTTAGTGTAGCAGAACATTCCATAGAGGAGTGTACATGCAAGAACAGAAAATAAAAAGTCACCGATGTTTACTGGTCTGATTGGCCATCGAGATGCGGACCTAGCTAATTGTGATCAGGTCAAACTCAGTATAGGTGTAATGATTGAGATTGGAGGTGTACCACTTGGTACACAGGTCATATTAATCAGAATTCGACTGTTACCAAACAATACCAGTTGGTGAACAATTTGACCGTTGGGGCATAGTTGGAGGGTCGATGCAGATCTATTTAAACAAACTCTCGCTCATTTCTCCTCCTCTCTCACTCAGTCACTCACATTCTTTCTTAAACTCAGTCTCCTTCTAATTCTTTTGATTTCTTGGGTTAAACGAGTAGATCTTCTCTAACTGCCTTAGAAACTGATTAAGGATGGTTGATTGGCAACTGAACAGGGGTTTAATCTCAATATTGATTGTAACTGTCTTCGAATCAAGATAACTTGAAACATAATCTCTATGTTAATTTCATGTAATTAGGGCTCAAAATAGTCTCAATTGCTATTGCCTCTCGAGAGGGAGGTTTTCAATAATCTGTCTCATTTTTCCCAAAAAAAAGCCTAATTTGATTGTACACAACCATAAAAGGGAAGAAATTAGAACAAAATAGGTTTTTATTTATAGGGTTATTTTATTGTATTTATTGAAACCCACCACATACCGGTGTACGAACACTCGGTACACCGGTATGCACCAGTATTGTACCAGTTCACAGCAGAACCATCGAGATTGCATACTCTGATTTTCATCCTAGAACAGATAGAATATGTATCAGTTAATAAATAGCAGTCCCATAAACCACACATAAAGAACAGAAAGTCAGCCATCAGGATCCACTCAATTTAAAGGCAATCTTCCAGAATATATCAAATGAAAGAAACTTTGAATTGAAGAAAACAAATTCAGTTAAGGATCCCATAGCTAACCTTCAGAAAGATTCAAGAAGCAACCACAAGAAAACATTAATACTTTTAAATGGAAAAAATCAGATAATTTGTATTCCACTCGTACCGCTTTCAGAATCAATATAAAATCTAATGGACTGAGTACTCCAACAAATTCTCCCTTGTATGTGTCCAATAAAGGAGCAACAGGAATTCCCTGACGAAAGTAAGGTTTAAAAAGAAAAAGCACACATCAGTTACTGAAAAAGAAATGATCAATCAACAAAAGTACCAAGTGAAACATCTATAGCCTTTTGCATAAATTTTTTTTATTTAAAATATATTTTTTTCTGAGAAGCTCACTATGTCTAAGGCATAACAGCAATTTCTAGGAGTGAACAGTAAAGCCCAAATAACCATTCAATTAAATAAAAAGATAAGATGGATCAAAATAAGCAATATGTGAAATGCTTAATACATAATAATCCATTGCAGCTACAATGATGCCCTAAAACATTGACATAGAAAGTACAGCTCAATATATAAAGATCAAGTATTAAACAGACTAAGATTATGGCTTGCCAGCTCTAACAGTTTTAATTTCCAAAGGAATAGGAAATGAAATAATATAAACAGATGAAGAAATCTATATTCAAGAAAAAAAAATCTATGTAAAAGATAATAGAAACAATGACAACAGAAAGCCCAAAATCCTATTACCAGCAGTTCACTCCATAGATCCTTTCTGCCATTTAGGACAGCAAGGAAATCATCTTCAAATCACCTTGCATAATTTAAGAAGTCTTCTTAGGCCTTCCACTCATCCTATTGAAACCTCAAATTTTAACAAACTTAGCATTCCTTACTGGTGGAAATAGAGATATCATTTAACACGGATAAACAATGAACTGTCATCACCTTATCCTTGAATGATGAATCTGAATGAAGATCCTCTTTAAACATTCCTAAACAATACAAAATATATATTTCCCTAGTGATTTAATGAAATTTCAGCAGGCACAGGTACTATGATACTGAGCCATTCATGATGCACCCTTTCATTAACTATAATTTGGACAAATCATTTTTTGGCTTGTTTGGCAGCATAATGTGATTGGTTGTGTGGAGCTGAGTCAAGCTGTGATGATATAATACAGAAATCCCTTATACCAACCAGCACCACATGGTGTCATTAATGCCAGAACCCCCCGTCACTAATGAAGTCCTTGGCTCTAAGAACGATGATCCACCATATTTGGCCCTAATAACAGCATCGCTAAAGAAGGCTTGACAAAGAACCCCTCGAACCAGCTGAAAAACTTCAACCCTCAATCCTGGCACTCCTTTAATTAATTATAATGGGATCAACTGCCAGTTGATATTCTATTTATAAATAGCAGCGACTTGTCGACAGAAATATACTCATGACAATCGATTACATCTATATTAAACAGTTACTTGAACATCAATAATAGACATATGACCAATGTCTTGTAGAGCATTCTAAAGACCTTACTCATGGTACTCATTTGCGGTTCTTCAAAACAGGTACAGAGTAGACAAAATCTAAGGCGCAGAGTTTTCATCCTAGAGACATATTATTTTATTTTCCTTGAAAAATCAGTGACCTTCAGATGTTCTTAATTTAGCGATGTCCTTATAAGAATACCAACCAGTAATGTCATATATAACTCATAATCCTTTCATTTAGCAAGGATTACTAAAATAGTGCATCACTCTAGTATTCAGCAAGAGATATGCAAGACACAGAAAAGACAAACTTTAGCATAAAATCACTTTTTCAATGTAAATCAAAATCCGATAAAAGAGATACCTGCTCGTAGAGGATATGAAATGCTTGTTTTACTGGCAAATTGCTATCAAGAGCAATGACCTAAAGAACAATGTCAATAATGAATCAAGGAGTCAAAAAATGCAAGACACAGTTTATAATATGCTAGAAGCCACATAAATCTTATTCATTAATAAAAGGAAATAATGTACCTTTCCTGAATCTGGAAGCAATTCATAAGCAGTATGGGTGGACAAAAGTTCAAAAATATGATCACGAAAAAGTCCAATATCAGCCTCTGGAACCCTCAAAGTTGTCTCCTGCAACAAAACATCTGGCATTGAAATTGTTTGTTGAACAGAAATGAGAATGAATCAAAGATCAAGATGTAGCATTTTCTAACCAGTGGGTTCTTTCCCCTTTGATAGTATAACAATGTTCAATTTGATCATTGGAAGTTATGCAAACAAATTTCTTGTTACAAGCAGTATAAAAGTATAAATATGCTGGTTGTGCCTCTGGTCACTCTGGATTTAACCAAAGTTCAACATGGCAATCCTCTGTTTCAACTTGTTAATGGGACATCATTTCAATCTATCAAGTTACCTAATAACCAAGCTTCTGAGTTGATGAGTTGAGGCATGTGTCTTGAATTGTTTCTAGATTGCAACAGAATTATCATTACTTAAGAGCAGGGTCTGCCATACTGAACTGTACCGCCTGGTACAGGCGGTACGTACCGGTCCGACAGGTTGTCGGTACGCGGACCGTCTGTTACCGGTCCGAGTGCACTGTAGCACTGTAGCATTGCACTGTAACACTGTACCAGTGCTACAGTACTCGGCACACCTGGGTGTACCGCTCGGTATACCGTACCGTACCGGTACCGAGCCCAGGTCGAAATACCGGTACGGTACGGTATTGCGAACATTGCTTAAGAGTTAGTTCTTATCTATGTCTCCCTCTCATCCTTATGAAGCCAACTATCCTTGAATTAAATTAAACCCTGATTCAAGTCATATCCTATCAAAACATAATTCCATGAATTCAAGAGAGCAAGACAACCACATTCATAAAGCCTACAGATGATGGAAAATTGAATGCTTACCAAGGTTTGCAGTATCGACTGGTATTGGTTTGGTACAGGCGGAATTTACCGATCTGAAATGTTATCGGTAAATATCAGACCTCTTCCAAGCGGTACAGGTTCAGGTTCCGATTTCCTTTTTATTTTTTCAGTTTTTTTTTTTTTTAATGATACATACTGACATACCAACACTCAGTACACTGATACTTGATACTGACCAGTATGATACTGGTTTGAGCCATAACCAGTACAGTACCGAAACTCAAAATTGCAAGCCTTGAATCAGGGTATGGCCAGTAACAGAAATTGAATCCTAATGGAATTATCAGTTTATATTCTTCTTGTTCATCACATGAAATTGAATCCTACAAACATCTGTTAAGCACCATGAATCACATGAACGTCATGTAACAGAAATTATCAGTTTATATTCTTCATGTTCATACTTTGAGACATGGTATTTGGCGAGGTAGGCAATACCGAATGATACCGCCCAGTACGGGCGGTATGTACCGGTCCGACGACATACCGATACGTGGACCGCCCGCAACCGGGCGGAACATTTAAAAGCGCGGGTAATATCGAGCGTTAACGGTCAAAATTTCGACCGTTACCACCGGGCACAACTCAGTAACGGTCGAAATCGATCGTTACCGCACTGCAACAGTGCTACAGTGCTCCAACGGTCAATTTTATCGAGCGTTAACGGTCAAAATTTCGACCGTTACCGCCGGGCACAACTCAGTAACGGTCGAAATCGATCGTTACCGCATTATAACAGTGCTACAATGCTCCGACGGTCAAATTGACTGTTGGAGCCCTTTCTCATAGTATTTAAACCATTCTTCTTCCCTATTTCACTTCATGAGATTCTTATACTCTCTTCAACTATCTCAAACTCTTTTTTCTCTCCTAAACTCTACAAAACAACGATTTGTGAATTCAATCGAGACTAATTTGAGAAGATTAAGATGAAAAACTTTCTAATCAAGAAGTATGTATTCTCTTTCTTTAATTAGAGAGTAATTAAGATCTTTAATATTATGATTAGTGTGTTTCATGCATATTAAATATTAAAAAATATTTATGATGCTGCGATTAGTCATTTTAATGATGATTTAATCGAAATTTATTCGATTTTATGTCAATTCAATGTGTTTAATACCTATTAGGGTGTTTGCCATGTTTATAGTGTTGAAAGAGAAGTAATTAGTGAAAATTTAACTATGTTAATCATGTAATTAGTGTATCTAATGATGATTTT